CTTTAGTAATGAGCAGTTGTTTTCAGTATATTTGGGAAGTGTGTTTAAACTATGTTTCTGAGATACTTCGGTATTAATTAATATATACCTTAGAGGTGAGAATGCTGTCATATCTGATCATTTCATATATATAAACCAACACATTTGTCATGAGACAGAGTTAAGAAACAGGGAAAAATGTTTTACTTTACAATGAAAGCTTGTTATCAAACCTACGTTTAGAATCCATATTCATCTCTTGGTGTAATGAAATAATTGAGATCATTGTTCTATAGTCTTAAAAACACCTGGCTAATTGCTACTTCTTACGGATTTGAGAATATCTTTTAATCAGTGGTTTGTATTTATTTATTTATTTTATTTATTTATTTACTTATTTATTTTACTGGTATGCTTTTCTCATTTACTTGAAGTTAAACTGAGATCCAGATTTTGTCATAAAGAAGGATCAGCTCCTGAGTCTAGTTTACAGGAACTCTTGCATTTTCTTTTGATTTATTGCTCTTTTCTTCACTGTGGAGTGTTTCTTCCTTCCTATGATTGCCAAAGAATTTTAATACATCAAATCCCCAGCTACAGCAATGGCATTACTCCGTGACCTAGAACTAGTCCTCAGTGAAATTTTCTTATGTTAAAATAAGCTGATTTTGAAAGTGAGGCCAGGGACTGAGAACTAACAGAGTCCTTCTTTCTTCATGTGTTTCTTGGAGACTTCAGAATCCACAGATAGGAAGAATGAACCAAGCTATGTTGACCTTTCTCTCTGTCACTTCCCTCCCATCCCAATTAGACAGGGTTAACAGAGTTAGGGAGCAGAGCTGGCTGTGACTTTTAAAAGAAAAACAAAGTAAATGCTTCTCCTATACCCAGTGCCCCTGAGCTGCCTATTGCTTTTCTATGTCATGTTGTAACTGTGGCTGTCAGTCGTTATTACTGTGTGCTGACTGTACTACAGATTCCTGGAAGGTGTTTCAGGCCCTGTGCTGCATGAGGCTGTAGGAAATAGTTTTTCTGTGTTTTCCCTCCCATCTTTTTTTGTGTTATGCCTATCATTCTGGTATGCATGACACTTTAGAGAGACTAAATTCCATTTACTCTGTCACCAGTTATCCCCTTGCAAGGAATATCTCTTCCAAAGGCTTGGATTAAATTTTGTCTTGTATGAAAAAAAAAAAGGAAAGCAATATAACAAACAGAACTTTCAAATATGATTTAACTAGGCATGCAGTTTAGTGGAAGAACATTTAGCCTGTGATTCTTGATGGGGCTAAGCTATGGGATAAGTACAGAGAAATATCGATAGATGTAAGTAGTTCCATCCGTCTCCAGTAGTATAAATGGTGTTAGCCAGCATTCTTATGAAAATTTCAGATATGCCTACACCAGAGTGAGACTGTGACTGTAGTTTGTGTATATGTACTCAAGCTAAATTTAGGATAGATAGATCAATCTGGTGTAACCGCAATGGGAACGGACTCATGTTGTAAAAAACAAAAACCCTCAAAATAAACAAAAAAAACCAAAACCAGGACACCCCTATGCTGAGTCTGTTGCTTATTCCTTTCAACTGTTAAAACTAGAACTTGAATTAGTGCTAGTCTTCAATGCTTAAAGAATATCTTTCACCTAAAAGAATATAAACACCTGAAAGAATATCTTTCCTTTGACTTGTGGCTTTCTCCTTCCAATAAATACTACAGTGCTAGGATAATTTCTTGATGATGTAAATTTTGTACTTTAGTTCTGAATATGATGGTACATTCCTAATTAGCTTTTTCTTTTATTTAGGCCAAGTAGATAAAGCATGAATTAATATTGTAAGACAAGTAAAATAGTCTTTGTTTTTTCAATAACAAAAAAAGCCCAAACCAGTAACAGGAACAAAGAATGCTATTAGTGCTGTAGGAGTATCCAGAATGGATTTTTCTCTCTAGCAAATCAAAAGTAAGGTGTAACTATATCCCATGGGCACCAACTTTCAAAACACCAGACAATCTGTAGTGATTTCAGTTGCTAAAACACACCTGGAATTATGAAACAAAAAAGCTCCAGGTTCAGCATTTTCTTCATGAGGGAATTAGCAGAACACTGCTATTCCCTTTTATTTACTTAAGGTCGAATTGAGTCCTGTAGGTCCCAATATGCTACAACTTCTTTTGTATTTGACAGAATGGGTGAAATGGACTAATGGTAACCAGTCTGGAGATTTTAGTAAATCAGAATCTAGTAGAAAGCATTTTCAAGACCAATGAGATCAGCAGGA